CACAAGATTCAGTCCAAGAGTATGAATCTAAGATGCAGAAAAGAGAGAAGCAATATCTCAATCGAACCTCAACGATACTACCGGTAACATCAGCGTGTGTAGCTATATATTGCGACGTCTTCGGGCAGTAGAAGCCACACTGTCAAAATTTCTTTAGGAATTTTCTAGTTGTTGTTGTTCTTTATGTTCATATATATATTCTTCGATATATATTTATATTGTACATAGTAGTTCAATGTTAAAGCTTAGTTTCTCTGTTCTACTTTGTTGTCTTTAATGTCTTTGTTTTTATATTTCTCTTGTTATTTGTATATTCTGTGTACGTACCATGAGAATAATGTGTAACCGGAGTCAAATTAGCCAATAAAGCTGATTCTGATTCTGATGTTACTTAGGCTCCACCCACTGCCCATACTGCCACAGCTGTAGGTAAAAACACCTGATGTCACTTCCTCTAGAGGCTCCACCCACTGACCAACTCAAGGGGTACATCCCAAGTCTCTTAATTGTCATTTCCTCGTTTCCTCTCTCCTCGCATGGTTTCCTTGCGTCTATCCATGCATCCCTGGGGGGAGGGACTAAGACGCAAGGAAAGGACACAAGTGAGGGAAACGGGGATGCACTTAAGAGACTTGGGATGTACCGCAGGTCCTCTTACCGGATCTGTTGTGAGTATTTCAGCTGCATCTCATGGCCTTCATCAGTGGGTGGAGTTAACTCAGCTGGCATGAAGAGAAACTGATGAAGGCCATGAGATGTGAACAAATCTAGTAAGAAGACCTTGAGTTAGAAGTACAATCATTGTTACTGTATTTCTTTAACTCTCATGTATTTAAAATAGATCATGTGACCTGGAAGTGGAAGATGCCGGCGTACTGTGAGCCAAAGTTCTGTCCAGGAGGAACCACTCTGTTCAGAATCTGAGGGTCCAGGGTCAGAGAGGCGATGGCAGCCAGCAGCCAGCAGTCACCTGACAGACACACAGCAGGGCACGATCACACAGCCATCAGAGGTCAGTGTGTGTGTGTGTGTGTGTGTGTGTTCTCACCCAGCACTCCCTGACAGATGTCTGTTCTCTTCGCTCCATCAACGATGAACTGAGGATCAGAACTCAGCTCCTGATTGGACGAGACAGCAAGTGACTAAAGATTATTTTATAACGTTATTGAACAACTAATAATGATGTGTGCGTTCACAGTCATCAGGTTAATGATTCACACAAACTGAGTCACACTCTTGTTTAACTAACAGGAGGTGCTTTGATTTTATCTTTAATATCCTTAAACGGGCTAAAGAGCCGGTGAACCGGAGCTACCGGAGCTACAGCTGCAGGCGGATAGATACACTGTTCATCAAGAAATAGTTCCAACTCATAAAAGTCCTAAAACAAACCAGATATTAGCATGTTAATCAGTGGACAGAACCAGGCTAGCTGTTTCTCCCTGGTCTCCAGTCTTTATGCTAAGCTAAGCAATCAATCAATGCACTTTCAGACACTGATCAGGTCATTTTCTCTGCGTTGTTGATGACGTCACTGATCAACGTCGCTTGGTGGACTTTATATAATAAATACAGACATCATTTTTGTAATTAATACGTATATTGTAAGCTTTTGTGTTGAGTTGCTTCTTATCAAAATGCTCTGAGTGAGTTGAAGTAGCAGGGATGCAGCATATGTCTCGGGCTTTTATTGTGAAAGGTAAGGAAGGAATCAGCTACAAATATATTCTCCACAAGTAATAGATACAAAAGTACTTTGTGGCCATTTGTGTTATGATTTTTTTGCCATTTTCCCTTAAACGCAATGCCTGATGGTATATAGTGTTTGGTAAGTGATCATCGGTTATACAGCACTTTTCACAATGCATTGTGGGATACTTTGAGTCCACTACATAGGGTTTAATAGTTTTCACTTACCGTGGGTCGTTTCCACTCTGTGCCGATGGTTTTGGACGAGTAGCGTCCCAGCTGGTTGTATCCCAGAGAGTCCCTGTCTGCGGGAAAGGTCGGGTCACAGAACAGCGAGCCGGACTTCAGACACTCTTTCTGCAGCTGCTCAAAGTTCTGCTGGTTGAAGGGGACGGCGCTCGACACATCCTTGTCTCGAGCCTTCCTCCTAGCCAGCTCTGCTGCCACGTTTGCCATCCTGAGAGTGTTTCTACTGAGGGACTGCCGAAAGTCCGCCGAGAATCCTTCCAGAGTCGGCCGATAGTCGGCCGATGGTCTGCCGAAGGTCTGCTGAGACTAAATGAGGTGTTTGTGTGTGTGTGTGTGTGTGCATCAGGTATAAAGGTGGTCAGGTGTGAAGGGGCTGAGCTTCGGTCCAGCTGAAGGAGCAGTATGATATCAGTTGACTCTGAATTATTCAGAGAGAGCAAACAGTCTGATAAACACAGTGATGTGCCAACACAGACTGGACTCTGAACAGGTTTTGGGTCTCTGGGTGTCTCAAGATCTTCAGTTCAGACTTCGCCAAAGTCCAGGAGGCTCTGAGACATCACCAGGTAGCACCAGCAGTCCATTTCAGTCCTGGATCAGAAGCACTCAGATCACCTGGACTCGTTCAGCACTGAGTGACGCCTGAATGCAGCAGAACTGAACTGGGTCACCGATGGAGGTCCAGACACTCAGATGGAAACCAGATGTTCATGTCCCCCTGCTGTCCATATGAGACTCAAACCCTCCAGACCTCCTCCACCGTGCTGAGCCTTCAGACGCTGCTCAGCGTCGCACAACCCAGAGCCTAGCTGTCCAGTCCTCACAGGTGGACCCATGAGTCCACATGAGCATTATGAGCCCCACTGGTTAGCTGATCTGTTCTGATACGGCGGTTAAAGGTGATACTGGAGAAGTGTAGCGCCCACCCTCCTGTTAGCTCTGTTAGCGCCGTTAGCTGTTTTTACTGTTGGTGTTGTTAGCACCGTTAGCTGTTTTTACTGTTAGTGTTGTTAGCACCGTTAGCTGCTAGCCGCCGGCTCAGCAGTCGCAATGTTAAAAGCCAAATTTGGAGGCAATAGATCTCCTTTTAATTTTAAATTCAGCACCTTTATAGGATTTGAATGACATTTTATTTATTTATATAAGTACTTTTTAAAGACTTTTTCTAGTATAGGAGTTGAACACAGCTGGTCTCTGGTGTTTCTCAGAGAAGGAGGGTGTAACTGAACACTGAGTTAATACTGACGCTCCCACATGTTTCCTGTATGGTGATATTATTAGTATGACTAACAGCTCCTTCAGGAGTCCAGCTGTAAACGGCTCAAACCTTTAAAAACACTGATCCTGAACTATATATTATATTTATATATATATGTCCACAGACTTGTATCCGTTTCTTCTGTTATTTCTTGGTGTTCATGGTTGTATTTGGTGTTTCCTGCTTCTGTGATTGACCGACAGAACAGAGGAGATGTTCACTAGAGAGACGGATTTAACGAGAGGGCGCGGCGCACAGACCCGTCATCCGGCTCCTCCCCCGTGATGAGGTCTGAGCTCTCTGTCGGAGAGGAAAAGTTTGATCAGAAGAATCTGCAGAGAGTTTTCTGAACTTTTCTTCTTCGTCTTCTTCTCCGCCATCATGTCCGGCGTGGCCTCCACTCTGGCCAAGAAGCGCGCCCTGGCCGCGGGCTTCGGCACCAACGCCAACGCGGTGCGGTACCTGAACCAGGACTTCGCGGCTCTGCGCGCTCACTGCCGCTCCAACGGGAAACTCTTCTGCGACCCGACTTTCACCGCCGCGCCCGAAGCTCTGGGCTTCAACGAGCTGGGCCGCAGCTCCTCCAAGGTCCGGGGAGTCACCTGGAAGAGGCCGACGGTAAGGACCTGGGGGGGGGCGGGGGGGGGGGTCTGGGTCTGGTTCTGGTTCTGGAATCTGGGTGGATGGGCTCGTTTGGATAAGTGGGAGGGGCGGGGTGCCCGGGAGGA